TATAGCAAACATATTAATATTACAGTAACACCAGAATAAAACCCAAAGTACAATACTGATTTAAATTGACTATAACTTAAAATATAACATACACATCAGATAAAATATTAAACATGAAAGTTCAACACTGAAGTGAATGCCGGTGCTTTATGAAAGTGTTTCCTTACATTGTCCTTTAAACAAACATTTAATATCTATTAAAAACCTTACTGTAATTATTTGCAATTAGTCAACAGACTAAATTCAAATGCTGCCTCAGTAAAATCAGGATAAATTATTTTGCAATTTAACTGAACATCCTACTTTAATCATAGATGTAGCTGGAAATGTTGCTAATGTACCCTCAATCATACACAGGAACAGAAAAGCTAAACAAAATAATCTACTTAAAAGTAAGAGAAATAGTTACACATGACTTTGTACAGTTTAAAAATATTAGTCTATTGGAGTTTGAAAACAAGCTTCACATTCGGTTAAATATTTTTAAAATTACCAAGAGAAGAGAAAATTTTATATTAGGAAAAAAAGCTCAAAGTTGCATTATTTCTTGTATTTATAAAGTATATGACTTAATTTATAATATATCATATGAAACACTCAACCTTAAATTGTAGGGTAGTATTTTGGCACTGCTGAATCATGGAGATAAACTTAATTTTCTCAACCATATTACAATTATAAATTTTATTGGTTTCATATAAGATATGGACAGCTCTATCATTCTCTTCAAATACTGTAATAAAAAGAATTATTTTGGAAAATAAAAACAAATGAATAATAATTTGAGACGACTGGCATATTTTCAAAATTGTTTAAAGGCAATATTATGGCACAGATAGCAGCTGGTAAACACAATTCTTTAGCTTAAATATAAGCTACAATACAGTTGAGCCACAGCACAGTTAGTTTTGCTAATGTGTTTGTATTTCCCAATATGAAATAATAGCTTTATGTAATCAAGCTCACAGCCCAGTCATTATTAGATCACATTAAAGAAAAGTAAAAGAAAGCTCTAGTGGTTTCAGATCAAAAAGATCAAAATAATGGCAAAATTCCTGCCTTAAAAAAGGTAATCACATATACTTTGAAGGCCCACCATAACTTTAAGACAAAACTTTAAAGTGGCTTTTTGATATAGTAAACAAAAATGATTTTAGGTAAAACTGAACACTTCTTTTAATTAAAATAATAAGAAAATTTTATTGACATATATTTTAAGTTTTAATATACAACATTATTAATGGTTCAAAATTTATATCATCACCAGAGATTAACAACTAAATGAGAACTTTTAGTGTATTCTAATATTTTCAATAAACATTTTAATAAAGATAAAGAGACACTTTACAAGTATTCATCCTTACAACACTGGGTGACCTACTGATGTAATAAATGTAATATCAAATAAAAAAGGATTTTAACTAACAGAGGAGATTATAACAGACTAATACAAAAGATAAAACATAATTTACAGATTTTTTCTAAAATGTTAAATCCACAAAATATCTATTTTTAACCTATACAGTCTAGAGTATTTTAGTTAAAATGTTTTTGTAAAGTCTGAACAAATGATACACAGAAAAATGTCTGAAAAACATAAAAGTAGCATTTCAGCTCTTGCCTTTCCAAACAAGTCTGTAAAATACTGATTTGAAAATATCTAGAAAATTGTAAACATGTTTTTCCACCATTAGAACTGGCCATTCAACATCAAGTCTTTTTCTCCATATAATTAAGCTTTTGTTCTGCTAAGAAAAAACTAGAAACTGATTGCTTGAAAATGAGCTGCATGCCCTTTGTCCTGATTTGTCACCTTTGACCCTTAATTTGATGATCCTGCATATCAACCCATTCTATTTTTAGAAGAATCATGTCAATGTTCTATGCTTAAAATAGTACTTTTTACTGATATATTAAATGTATTACAACATTCCTTTCAGGTAATTTATACAATGGTTTCATACTAGTACTCATTTTATATAACGTAGAACACAGTAATATTGTAAGCAGTGAAAGCCTGGTGTTTGTCCTGTTTCAAACAATAGAAAATTTCCCCCAAATGACAGGTCAATATCACTATAATTTCAAATTTTATATTCTTATTTTAAAAATTATTTAATGTTTTTAAGTGGAATTTTTTTCATGAATGATTTCTAATTTGATTAAGTTTGATATCACATATTTTGATGTTGGTTTTGATAGTGCCAGAATATGAACCTAAATCAAAAACTGCAAATATCAAGTTCATACTCTACCTTATGGGTAGTGTCAATTAAAACTGTACAGTGTTTGAGTTAAATAACTAGTTGCTTAAACAGGTTTTAAAAATCTTGGCATCATCTCCAAGTGGCAGCTTTCAAAGAAAGAGAAAACCTCTAGCATTGATTCTATTGATTTTACTGACATTATTCAAAATCAATGTTACACAGTAAATTAATATACTTCAGGGATAACATTTCTCTATCACAATTTCTGATGATTCCAATTCAACTAGGTGAAAAGCAAAAAATAAAAGTAGTTATGAACTATATATGCATATATTTCCTGTAGTCACGATGCTACTTGAATCCCTACACAATTTCTGTGTACTGTACAGTTTTCAGTCAGATTTAGCAGGGACCAATATGGCTGTCTTGATTCAGCACTGTGGCCAGCGACTTTGTCGAGCATCATTGTGTCAGAGAAATCCAACACAATAATGTACATGTATACAAGTACATGGTGGGCAAAGTTCCTCAAAACAATAAGATTCTGTATTTCATATATTCCAAGACTTATTCATATAAATCAACCTTAAGTATTTGAATGTAAAGAATTTCCATTGTTCTTGGCAAGCTAGAAATTCCTTACTTTGTGGTTCATCAAAAACAGTAGCTATTTGTAAAGAAAATATAGTCCCTTTAAAAGGCAAGAAAATAAGGTACAGATTCAAAAGCATTTAAACAAGAAAACTGAGTATTTGAGAATTTTAAAAGAAAATTAAATTCTATTAAAAAATACTTAATAAGAAAACCCTTTAGTTGTCCAAAAATTTTTAATGCCACTTTCATAATCAATAATTTAATTACTTCTAAATTGATTCATCTCTGTATGCCCATGTTTCATTTCTTAAATCAATTCAACTTTGGATTAAGATAAATGTTTATAGATCATTTCCTGACCTGAACTTGCTAATTTAGTCCCCAAATTTAGTAGCTGTGCCTGGCGCTTCAATTATTTTTAAAGAGACATCAGTCTCACACCTGAAGACTGTTATTCATACATGTTTTATTTAATAACTTACTTTTTTCCTTTAATCATGATTTGTAAATTATGACAGCAGTGTGTCACAAATCCCTAATAATGTTACCAGATGAGATACCAAGCATTATCAAACTTTTAGGCAGTTAAGATCTGTTTAGTCTTCTCTTTCTTCAGAGTAAACCGGAAAGAAAAAAAAAGCCAAACTTAAATTCACTGTATTTTGGGATTTACATGTGCAACACACTTAAAAATTATTCTGACTGTGAGCACTACTGACTTTGAGCACTACTATTTTAAATATCGATTTGTTTCCCTTACAAAGTATAAGATTGACATATCTCGCCTCACAACCTAGCGATTTTTAAATTTAAATCCTGACTAATTTCACAACAAAGTTTTTATTGTTTCTGAAAGAAGTCTAGCAGAGAATATAATAATAAGACACCATACAGTCTGACAAGGATTAATGAGAATATAATTATTGAATCATTTGGTTCCAGATCTATTAATTGAGAAGCAGCTATAAAGTTACCAAGAACCAATATGCATTACAACCCGATCCAATTCCTTAAATTTTTATGACCCCATATTGTCAAGCAAAGATTAGCTGATCTTACTTGTAAGATGGAAAAGTCAAATAAAACTTTTTTATTCATTGATAGTATAGCTCCTTTCCCACTAAGTGCTAGAAGAGGCCTTGTATCAGTTGCATTTCTAAAGCTCTGTAGGAAATTAGGCACACTGCAAAGACAAATAATTTGGGAAGCAAGAACTTTCCCTAAGATGGACAAGGGTGTAATTATTATTGAAAATGGAATACTGATTATTACATTCACTTTTGTTAATTTATCATATGACTCCTCTATAAAATCTATGCAAATTCACAGCAGAAGAAAAAAATGGCATAAATTTCATAGCAAATTTTATATTTTTAAAATCATACGAATTGGCATATATTTCCAAGAATTCACCCTTAACTTTTAAAATTTCCCTGAAAGCTTTCATAAAACTGCGATGTTTTGTACTTATTGTTGGACGTAAAAATGTGCTTTTTAAAAAAGCACTTTTGCATTATCATCTAAGTAAATATGGTAATAACTAGCACCCAAAAAATGAAACATTAAGATTTTCTTGATTAGAGTAAAAATCACTTTACGTCGTATTTTTTCCAGCAACGTTGTAAAACGTTTTAAATTCATTCTAACACTAGTTGTCAGGTGTAATTTTCACTTCCATAGTACTTGTGATAGAGAAATAAAAAACTACAATAGATTAGGAGCATAATTTATTTTTCCCTTGCATTAACAATAATACGTATAAAAATCTTCAGTGGAGAATTTAGGTCCATGAACAGTAATACTTGGCAATCTTAAAAACCTACGGATGAAAACAAATCCACAAAGAACTGGAGGGAACTCAAGAAAACACAGGCACCTAAGATTTCATTCTGTGTTACATGAAACAATTCAAAATGGCGGACTTACTATTACTTACATTTAAGAAATTTCCGCAATAAGGGCACTAAATACATACTGTTAGATTTTACTCAAAAACACTCAATATTTACCAACGTGCAATTTTTAAAAAAAGTTTTTGGAGTACAAATCCTCATAAAGCACCCGCATCCAATGTTCCAGTCAGTAGTCAGTTAATGCTCCTGCAAACGTATCATTTCTTCTTTGGTTTTTCCTTTCCAAAAACAACCTAAATCCAAGTGCGTTCTTCCCCGTTCTTTTCAAAATCCTTAATTTTAATTCATGAATTTACATCACCGATACCGAAGCAAAAACGATCCCCGACGCCTGCCCGGTACAAAGCAGCTCGGTTTGCGGAGCGCGAAAGGGAGGTGCGCACGCCCCCTGGCGGCACGGCCCCGTGCGTCCCAGAGGAGCCCGCACCGGCCGCGAGGACCCGCCGCCGGGACCCCAGCCTGCGCCGCACCCTCGCGCCCGAGTGGCCTGCGCCCCCGCCCTGCCCTGCCCCGCCCCGCCCTCCTGCTCCAAGCCGGCTTTGGCCGCCCGGCAGCAACCGCAGCGGCGAGCCCGGGCGGCCGCTCTGGCAACGCGGTGCCCATACCGGGCGCCGACCCAGCAGCACGGAGCGGGGAGAGAAAGGTGTGAACCCGGAAGTACATCGACTGCCCGCGTCTTAGTGGCAGCACCAGGGCAATAAATCAGGGCCGGCGAAGGAAAGACGCTGCGCGCCGGCTCCCGAACCGCAACTTGCTGCGAGACCTGTCACTTCCCCGCGGTGCCCAGTCCTCGCCCCTCCCAGGCGCTCGCGCCTCCTCTTTTCTTCCTGCTCCTCAGCACGGAGCTCCCCTCGACGTTGCTCACGTGCCAGACTCGGGACCGCGAGCGGCGTCCGCACCCGCACGCACACCCGGCCACGCTCGCACTCGCGCGGCCGCGGGACCGGCTGCTTACCTCCGGGGCCTCATGGTCGCGTCGCTAGCCTGGGTGTGAAAGGGGGAGAGGGTGTGAGGACGTGTGTGGCGTTCAGTCCCGGAGGACTGGGCGGAGGAAGGGGCCTGGAGTCTGTCACTTCCTGAGGGAGCGCGGAGGTCGAGAGACCTGTGAGGCGCGCGGCGTGGCCGGGAGGGTCAGCACATTGTGAGCCGGCAAGGGGACGCGGAACAGCCGGGCCGCGCGCGGCCACCGGGCGGAGAATCCGCTGTCGCCACCGCTCCGCCGCCGCAGCCCGGCGAGTGGCGGGGCGCGGGGAGGAGGGGGCTGAGCCGGGTGGGGGAGCGCGGGGCGCGGCGGCGGCACCAGGCGGTTCGACTGGAGCCCTGCGTCAGCCGGCGGCACGCGCACACCTGCCCGCCGCCGCTCCCGGCCGCGTCATTGGCTGCCGGCGCCGAGCGCGCGAGATTGAACCTTCCATTCATTCCAGGGCCGGGCGGGCGCGCGCGGCCGTGGTGGAGCTTTACCGCGGGCTCCCCCGAACCCCCGAGGCGCGTTCCCGCGCAGGCTCGGGCGCGCACGGCCGCGCCGCCGTTTGTTCTAGTGGAGGCTGCGAGTGCCTGGGCCTGTGACTCCCGGCTCTCCGCGCGCAGCGTCGGTCCCGGAGGGAAGCTCACATGGCCGTCCCTGGGGTGTGACTGGAGGGAGGCGAGACGGTGCTACTCCTTGCTCCCCAACCTGACACCTTGGTGCGGTAAAACTGTAAGAAGGTAACAAAATCATATCTGAAGCCCAGGTCTTTTCTTTTACTACAGATGCCCTGGACATCATTCCGAACAGCACAATTCAAGGTAATAATAGTCATGTATTTCAGAATCCAGTGAGCATCGTAGACAATGCCAGAAGTTTGGGGAACCTACTGTCAGCTGTTCCTTTTCCTAAACAATAAGATACTCAACGTCAAATTGGATGATACAAACTTAATAATCATCACTCAAAGAGCCACAAGATCTGGGGCCCAAAATACTGTGATATACACACAGTATTGATATTTTGGTATATGTTCACAAAGTATCACTGCTTTCTCTCCTATAATTTTCCACCTGATAATTTTATAGTTCTCTTTTATACTTTGGGTAGTTTCTCATCAGACTTTCAGAACTAAACAGTACTAGTCAATCATTATCTGACCAGCTACAAAAATCGAGTATAGCCTTGTAATGTGGACTGTTCTGTGGAACTGATTAAAGGGATTAAATATTTCAGCAAACTAAAAATGTGTTCAAAAATTTAAAATATAGAACATAAAAACAAAAGTGGAAAACTTTTCAAATGAAAACACTTTCATTTGAAAATAACTAATAAAGGCCAGTTCACTGGCTACTATTGTATAACTAAAAGGCAAATCTGCAAACTGTTGATGTGTGATGATGCATTTCTCCCTTCCAATTTCTGGATTAGGATTAAGAAACCAATGTATCTATCAAGGGTAACCACAGTCTAGAAAAAAGCATCTCTGGCCTGGGAGTGAGATCAATGCAGACAGACTGATCAGAAGCAAAATCCTGTTGTGACCCCTCCTAAGAATTTTCCACATTGGCTACCACCTTCAGCAAATTCCCTGGATGGCTGCTCAACTTTCCATTGGGTTAGTGGAGTGAATACCACTTACTTTAAAGATGCTTTTTCACTGGCAAGTATGTAAAGTATCTCTTACATTACTTTGCTAAGTAGTACAGAGGATTCTTTCAGATACAATTCCTTAGTTATAATCATTGTATCAATTTACACTATGATTCCAAATATAATTTAGAGGAAAAAGATGTGGACATAGATTACTGGAAATGAAAAACAGCAATTAATTATCACCATCTGAAATGTGATACGCTTTGACTTTAAAGCATTATAGTAGTTTTTTACTTACGAGTAGAGCTTACAAATGCACTTACAGAATGAACTCTGTTTTTTTTTAATAGCTATGTTTTTAGGTATTTTGTAAGCCTTTCAGCATTTAAGTGTGATGCATATTTATGCAGTACCTATTTAAAGTCCTGAGAAGAATTGTAAACAGAAAATAAAAAATTAAAACACCACCCAGGGTTAGTATCCCAGCACTCAAGAGGTCGTCCTTCTTTTCGATTTCAAACTAGTTGCCATCATGCCGTCATGCTGCTGTGACACAAGTAAAAAAATGGGACATCATAATATTTAATGTATTACTTTATGTAAGGTACCTGAAAGGGGTGATGATGAACATTGATAGGCTAAGCATTTATTAAGGAGTATGTTAGCATGATTAGAAATGAATGAAAAGCCATAAGAACAAAGGAATTTATCGTTTATGTATGGCTCTTGGCGATTTCTTTTTCTTTTCGCGTGTTTTTTTTTTTCTTTAGACAGGGTCTCACTATGTCCCCCAGGCTTGAGTGCAGTAGTGCAATCTTGGCTCACTGCAGCCTCCACCTTCTGGGTTCAAGGGATTCTCATGCCTAAGTCTCCTGAGTAGCTGGAATTACTGGTAGGCCTGCGCTACCACGCCCAGCTAATTTTTATATTTTTAGTAGACACGGAGTTTCGCCATGTTGCCCACGCTGGTCTGAAACTTCTGGCCTCAAGCAGTCTGCTCACCTGGCCCTTCAAAGTGCTGGGATTACAGGTGTGAGCCACCATGCCTGACAGGGGCAATTTCCTTCTAAAAGTGAAACTTGGGAATTTCTTTCTAAAAGTGAATCCTTCTACCTGGGACCATGGTGATAATTTATTTTACTTTATTTCCAACCTCCCCTTTTTTAGAGACCCGGTCTCACTCTGTTGCGAAGGCTGGTGTACAGTAACACCTTCCTAGCTGACTGCGGCTTCGACCTCCTGGGCACAAGTGAGAATCGTCTTCAACCTCCTGAGTGGCGGGGACTACGAGCGCCTAAGTTTTTTGGGGTTTTTTTTGTTTGTTTTTGTATGCCTAATTTTTTTTTTTTTCTTTTTGTAGAGACAGGTTCTTGCTCTGTTGCCCAGGCTATTCTCAAACTTGTGGTGGCAAGATATCCTGTGGCCTTGGCCTCCCAAAGCACTGGGATTACAGGCATGAACCACTGTGCTTGGCCTGCTTTACTTTTAGAATATATCTAATAATTATTCCCAAAGAGAACAGGCTCTTACTCTTAGTATCTCCAATGCCTACAACGGTTCCTAGAATATGGTAGTGTCTGAACGCACCCTGATTATAGTTTCAAGGAAATACTTAGCAAGACCTTTAGAAAACATAAAATGCAGTGTTTCATATTTCTCTTACCTTCTATTTTTTTTTACAACTGGAGTATATGGAAGCAAGCCCCAGGCATCGTGTCATTTTACTTATGAATTACAACTATTGAGTGTTATAATGTTGAAAAACTAGGCTTATATGTTTATTATACTACGTTAAAACAATTTGAAAAATAGAGTTGGCCGGGCGCGGTGGCTCACGCCTGTAATCCCAGCACTTTGGGAGGTCGAGGCGAGCGGATCACTTGAGCCCAGGAGTTGGAGACCAGACTGACCAGCATGGTGAAACCGTCTCTACAAAAAATCAGGCAGGCTTGGTGGCGGGCGCCTGTAGTCCCAGCTGCTGGTACTCAGGAGACAGCCGGGAGGCGGAGGCCGCAGCGAGCAGACACTGCGGCCCTGCACCCCAGCCTGGGCAAAATGGTCACCGCTTCTCTACAAAATATTAGCTGGGCGTGGTGGCGCACGCCGGCGGTTGTGGCTATTGGAGAGGATGAGGTCGCCCGTCCGACCCGTAGGCAGAGGTTCCAGAAAGCTAAGATCGCGCCTCTGAACTCCAGCCTGGGCGACAGAGTGAGATCCTATCTTAAAAAAAAAGTAAAGTAAGAAAGAAATAGAGAGTTTAAAAATAAACTGACCTGGCGGCGGTGGCTCATGCTCGTAATCCCAGCACCTTCTTCAGAGGCTGACGTGGCGAATCGCTTGAGCCCAGGAGTTCAAGACCAGCCTGCGGAAAATGGCGACCTGGCTCGCTACAAAATATTCGCTGGGCGTGGTCCGCACGCCTGTGGTCCCAGCTATTGGGGAGGCTGAGGTGGGAGGATCGCTCCAGCACGGGGGCGGAGGTTGCAGTGAGCCAAGATTGCGCCACTGCACTTCAGCCTGGGCAACAGTGCGATCCCGTCCTAAAATGGAAGAAAGAAAAAGAGAGATTTAAAAAGGTTGGCCGGGTGCCGTGACGCACGCCTGTAATCCAGGCACTTAAGGAGACCGAGATGGGCAGATCGCTTGAGCACAGAAGTTCCAGACCAGCCTGGGCAACACGGTGAATAGCATTGTATTTGCTTTCTAGGATAGCTGAAACAACAAAAATTAACGTCTCACAGATCTGAAGGCTTCCGTGTCGATTCTGGACTGTGATGAGAATCTGTGCCATGCGTCTCTCCTGGCTTCTGGTAGACTCGGGCATTCCTTAGCTTGTAAATGGCTGCTGCTTGTGTCATCACATTGTCTTCCCTCTCTACTTATCTGTCCCCATGCCCCAATTTTTCCTTTTCAGGCGCCAGTCAGATTAGGACCCACCCTAATGATTTTTTAAGTAAGTCCACATTTACAGAGACTGGGGGGTAGGACTTCGACATCTTTTTGGAGGGACGCAGTTCAACCCATAACAAGAATCATTGTTAGAAGTGGATGAGTTTGCTTCTTCACTGAAAAATTAGTATCATTCTGCAGAGAACTGACTTGCTGCGCATGGCACAGATTTTTTGCATTTATCATAGTAAAAGAAATCAGTCACGAAAGCTTGTTTTAGACTGCTACATACCTATCACAAATATAAATTATTTTCAACATTAAAAGTTAATAAAGCAAGCACTGTCACCCAAATTATATGATATCTATTGAGCACTCCCTTGTGTACAGAAGAGGAAAATTAAAAATGAACGGGAAGTTTCACATTCATAAAAATTGTTGGCTACGTGCGGTGGCTCACTCCTGTAATCCCAGCACTTTGGGAGACCAAGGTGGGTGGATGACCTGAGGTCAGGAGTTCGATACCAGCTGGCCAACACGGTGAAACCCCATGTCTACTAAAAATACAAACATTAGCCCGGCATGGTGGCGGGCTTCTGTAGTCCCAGCTACTCCAGGGGCTGAGGCGGGAAAATCGCTTGAACCCGGGAGGCAGAGACTGCAGTGAGCTGAGATTGCGCCACTGCATTCCAGCCCGGTGACAGAGCAAGACTCCATCTCAAGAAAAATAATAATAAAAATTGTGACACACTTGTGTTTGCCTATTGAACTGGCAAAAATCCTAAAGTTTGACGACACACTGTGTTAAAATACAGATTTAAAGTTTTAAAATAATTTTTTGGTGAGGCTCTAGGTAAACCCATACTTGGATACATTGCTGGTGGGAGTACCAAGGGGGCACAACATTTAGAGAGGAAAATTTGGTGAAGTCGAAATCTCTCAGAATTTAAAATATACTCAACGACTTAGCAATCCCTTTCCTGGGAAATTATCCTACAGATATAAACGCATCTTATACACATAATAGCAAATGATGTGTATACCTGGATTGATTTTTATAATAGCAAAAGAATGGAAATAACCTACGTGTCCACCTACAAGGGCTGAATAAATAAACAATGGTACATCGAGATGTAAAATCTTTCTGTGTATTTATATGGGAAGAGCTCCACAATACATTGTTAAGTACAGGAAGCTGCATGCCAAACATCACATATGCTGCTTTTGTATGAGAAAGGAAGGGGATAATCAGAATATATGTTATACTTATTTATATACTTATAATAATTATGTAATATATTTATATACAGAAACATTCAGAAAGATATATAAGAAA